TGCTAGAAACACCAGATGGCATAAATTTTATTAAACTGAACATTCTACATCAAAAATCAAAAGTATAAAATATTTGAAAAATAATTAATAATGTTTGTTTTGGCAACAGGACTCAGAAGATGAAGACATCGTCTTGAGTGGTGATGAAGAGGAAAACCTTATCGAATCTGAGGTTTTTATATTTTATATACCATATAAATGCACATAGTCATATTGTCCTCCTTGTTTGTCAAATTGAGAGTCAGACTTTTTTTTTCAAAATTATTTTGATTTGCTAAATGCAAAAATAACAGAAGAGTGCGTTTTCCTTTTTTTTTAAATTCAGAAGTAAAGATGTTTCCTTTTTTATTTGTTTAAATTTCCTTATATTTCTATAACTTTAAAAGTAACTTTGTGATGTTTTTTCTTCAGTCTTTGTCCAAACCCTTCAAACGGACCTGCTGTAACCGAGTCATGTTTATTCACCTCTTTTACTCTTCCTCTTTCCTATGGGACTAAAATATGTGTTTGTTATGGCCACTCCAATACACGGAAGCTGTCCTTAATTTAGTAACTAGATTGTGGTATTTTTAGGGTCATGGTTTAATTACAAGATCAATTTGTAGCTTACACTTCTTTCTTGAGATGTTGCTTCCAGAGGTTTCAAAAGTATTCATGTTTATATCTCAAGTAGTTTTATAAATCCTACTGTTTAAAAACACTCTTGCAGAAGTTAGAGTATCAACTTAAGCTTTTTACTCAAGTATAAGTGTAAAAGTACAATTTTTTAAAATTTTAGAAAAGGAAAACGAATACAGGACAAAGATTTTAAGGACAGTTGCTCACTTTGCTACCCTTTAAAGGACATTTTTTTCTGCAATTCTGGATGACTTCCATATGCTTAATTTTCTTAGTTTTATAACTATTGATAATGGTGTCAAATTTAAATACTGAAAAACTATTTTTTTTATGTAGTGAACAACAACTTGGTGCAGCACTGAGTCCAAACACAAAGAAATTAATTATCTGAATTAAACTAATTATTTTTTATTTTTTTTAATACCAACATGCCATAATGTAAATGAGCTTAAATGAACCCTATATAACAAGTCTATTTTTTAAATGTAAGGAGTAGAAAGTAAAGAATAATTGCAAAAAATGTAGGGAGTAGAAGTAAAAAGTTCTCTAAAAATAATTACTCGGGTAAAGTATAGATTAGCCAAAATTTCTAATCGAGTAAGGTAACAAAGTATTTGTACTTTGCTACTTAACACCTCTGGTTGCTTCAATATTTTACCTAATGCTGTGTCCTCCTGACATCCTCTGTTTTAGTACATCAGTCCCTCCAGCCTAAAAATGCCCCAACTCCATCATATTACATTCCCTTTACTTCAGTTGGGATGTTTTTCTTTGGTTTGCAACTTTCATCAATTCTACTTCCAGTTATTAAAATTTCAGGTTTAAAGGCCCTCACTCCTGATTGCATTTGGAGTAAAGCCTCCCTCCACCCTGAGTAATCTTTTAGCAGATGATGCTAAAGGACGTGTTTCATTATAGATGACTGTCTGACCAGGTTGGGTCTATGTTTGTTCTGAGTTGTGTACAGGTGCTGGTCATAAAATTAGAATATCATGAAAAAGTAGATTGATTTCAGTAATTCCATTTAAAAAGTGAAACTTGTATATTATATTCATACATTA